GGTGCCATCGATTTGCGAGGAGGGACGGATGGGTCGGATGCACTCAATCCCATGGTACGTACACAACTCAAGGGGCAGGTGTTGCAACGAGTGAGTGGATCAAATACACCGAACTCCAGCCTACTCTAGTTGTTGCTCCATGCGTTTGGTTTTGTTTGGGCATGAGCACATGGTTACGAGAGACTTCGACAGTGACCCAAGGCATATTATTCACGATTCCTGGTTCATACTTGCTGACCTGGAGTCTTAGCAGTCTGCCCAGTAGCATCCGACGTGGCGAGCGCCTGTCGCGATCGAGCAGCCAGCCAGACCTACAAAGCTTGCGGCGCTGCCCTCCGAGCACGACGGCGGCGCGGTCGCCTCGCTGCGGGAGTGGCACGCTGCTGACGGCGCCGAGCTCTGCCCGTGCCGCCGCCTCTGCTCAGTGGTGTGCGTGTGTGCGTATTTGACGGTTCCGCGCCGCTCGCTGCTCAGGCGCCGAGCTGGTCGTCGCGTTGCACGCGTGCGGCGGCACCTCTGATGTGCCGAGGCCGCCGGTGCAAGACGCTTCACGGCGCAAGGTGTGAACAGGTGCGGCGGCCTCTCGGACGTCGCGCTCGGCCCCGCAGCAAGGAGCCGCGCTTCGTGCCCCGTGTCTGCGCGCCGTTCACACCGCAACTTGTGAGCAGGCCTCGCCGCCAAGTGCGGCGCCTCGTGCCTGGTCTGCACCTGCTGCTTCGGCAAGCACCGCCGCCTTTGCGCGGCGCGGGAGTGGGGTGCGCCGCGGCGTCGAGGAGGGGGAGAGAGAGGTGTTCACGGCTGCAGTCCATGAAGAGGCGCTGTTCACAGGCTTGCCGTGCGAGGAGGAGGAGAAGGACGTCCTCTGCCGGATGGCGGACTGCGTGGAGGCGTCTCCGAGGCGCGTCATTCTTTTTAATCCTCGGACCGTTCTGAACGAGCAGTGGCGATTTCGTAGGACTCGATCTCCGACGAGGCGAGGCGCGTGATCAGCAGCTTGAGGCTCGAGCGACTGCGCCGCACGCTGCGCCCATCGAGCACGCTCGTGCGCGCAAGCATCCGCACCTTCCCACGCACCTTCTCGCGGCAGAATGTTGTCCTCGGCGCCGAGTGCGCGCCGTGCGCTCCTGTGTTCTGAAGAGTGAAGAAATGCAGAGGTAAGGTAAGGTAAGGTAAACTTCTCCACACACACGAGGTGGTGGGGCAAGGGGGGTAAGGTAAGGTAAGGTAAACTTCTCCACACACACGAGGTGGTGGGGCAAGGGGGGGCAACCCTCGCGTCTCCACGTCTAACGACAGGAGCCCCACGGCATTTAAAGTGCAAGGCCCGGTGCGCGTGGGTGAGCGGTGTGTGTGTGTGTGTGTGTGTGTGTGTGTGTGTGTGTGTGTGTGTGTGTGTGTGTGTGTGTGTGTGTGTGTGTGTGTGTGTGTGTGTGTGTGTGTGTGTGTGTGTGTGTGTGTGTGTGTGTGTGTGTGTGTGTCTCACGTCACTGCATCCTCCGCCGGTTCCTCCCGTCGCCTCTTCTTTGTTCGAATGTTTTTCAATGCATCGTTCACGAAGGCCTCACATGTTGCTAGCGTTCTTGGCGAATGTCTTGAAATGGGCAGCAGGCGCTGTCTGCTCGCGGTCTGTGCGGACCGCTCGTCCTCCTCGCCCTTCTGTCGTCCTCCCGTCCCTCCCCTGCACCATGGCCTTCTCGGCACTTCTTTCTCCATCCGCCTCGCCCGGCCTTTTCGCATCGTGCCGTTCGCCCTCCATTCGGTGACCTCCATGGCTGTCCGCCCCTTTTTGGGTGGCGCTCTCGATACGGGTGCGTCAACCTCGACGTCGCTGTCGCCCTCCCCGTCCCCGCCGGCGTGCGTGCCTCGGTTCGCGTCATCGGTAGCGTCTCCGTTGTTCCCTCGTGCCCCAGCCGTCGCCCTCTCTGCTCGGGCCGTTAGCGATTTCGCTCCTCCTGCGTGTCGCCCCTCCGTCCCCTCCCCTTTCTTCGTCGTCATCGTGGCTGTCGCGAAAGCCCTCCGGTCCCTCGATCCCTCGCCT